TATTGGACATTAACCTTCCAGGGTACAAAGTTAGTCTCTGAAAACCTTCACTATAATTATGACTCCCGGAAACTAATGTTTTAGTATTTTGATGCTACTGTTGTCCTAAAGATGACATTATCCCAGTTAGTCAATTTAGCTTTTCTCTCCACTTAAAGAAACGAAGTTTCCAACAAATACGCTTTTAGGTTTTGCCATAGAATCAGTGTTTTAATTGGAAAGGAAATCAGGATATCAGAACAGCAGGCATGATATCTTTCTTGGTAGAATGGCCTCATAAAAGTTACCAAATAACCTCCATTAAAAAAACATGGAGAAAAAAAAACATGGAGTCGGGAATTCCCTGGCGGTCCAGTGGTTAGGGCTCTGCGCTTTCACTGCCTAGGGCCCAGGGTTCAATCCCTGGTCAGGGAACTAAGATCCCACAAGCCTTGCGTCAAGGCCGAAAAAAAAAAATGGAGTCAAAAACCAGTATGGAGCAAACGCTCGGAAAAAGTAAACCATGAAATGAAATTACAAGGCACTTTTTTATTTCTTGCGAATTAAAGAGATTTAGGTCATTTCAGCATGGATGACACAGCAGCAGATTTGGGGGGAAATCTACATTTACACCCCTCCCCTCGCCACCACCTTTTTTTTTTTTCCGGTACGCGGGCCCCTCACTGTTGTGGCCTCTCCCATTGCGGAGCACAGGCTCCGGACGCGCAGGCTCAGCGGCCATGGCTCACGGGCCCAGCCGCTCTGCGGCATGTGGGATCTTTCCGGACCGGGACATGATCCCGTGTCCCCTGCATCGGCAGGCGGACTCTCACCCACTGCGCCACCAGGGAAGCCCGCCACTACCTTTTGATACTTTCTACCTACAACGAGAAACATCAGGGACAGCAAAGTGCTGCTGCCCAGGTTGGGGCCCACTGCTCTATTCCCCACCATAGACCAGGCCCATCGTGGGGCAGACCTCCCGACTGCCCCGAGCTTGAGCTCCTGGTCACAAAGGGCCTGGCAGGAGCCAGAGGACAGCACGGGAAACATCACGACCGGAAACCCACTGACCAGTAGCATCACCAGGACTGTATCTACTGGCAAGAAGCAACAGGACTGCACATGTCAGATGCCACACTACCAAAACAAAGCCAGGAGGGGAGAAATCCTCTTCTTGCCTTTCTCAGGGCCCTGCAAGAGGCCCCGGATGGGCCCATGGCACCTGCCTTCCCGACACTGGGTCTCAACGCCCACTCCCCAGAAGCCTTCCCTGGCTACCCCCGCCAGCCAGGAGCTGTCCTTCCCTTTCCTGAACTGCCACCATACTTCCAGTCCTCTGCACAACCCACTGATTCACGTTAGCCTACACTGTATGACTTCTCTAGCTTCTTCCTAGTGGGTCTTCACCCTCTCGCTGAGCAGCCAGCTCCCTGAGGGCAGGGTGGTGAAATCTTCATTCTTCCTCACCCCCCCTGGCACAGGCTTCAGTCCTGGTGCTACCTCAGTCAAATACCCACTGGTTTCTGGCATCTCCTTCACCACGCACAGGGGCCAAGATGCCCCGGACTTCTGCAGACCATGCCCTCAAAGGCAGGCGCAGTATCTCCCTCAACTTAGCGCAATAACTAGAACATTATAAGAACTCAAGGCACGTTCATTGAACATCAAATTAAATGAGAAAAAGACTCCCAAATCCCAGTTAACGATCTACTTATCTCGAAGAATACAGAATTCAGCAAGAGATTCCCACCTGATTTCCGGAGTTGACAGAAACCAACACAGTCACCTGCATTTATGACATCTCACCACCTGCCAGCCTCACCCCAAAGTGTCTGCATAGGGAGACAAGCAATTCTGGCCCCCAAGAGGTTTTCATGCTTAATGATAAAAAAATCTCACCTTCTCCTTCCTAGACTGGTCAGTCCCCCACCCCTCACTATGTGTAGAATAGTGCTGTGCAGACCAGTTAGTAAAGGCCCTCCAAAATGGGAAAGCCATTTCGTATTTTTTAGATTTTTTATGAATAATAGATATTACACAAGCACATACAATGTTTTCTGTTTAAAATTGCATTGTCTTCTACCTCCATGAGCTCCTTTGGACCCAAAGTCTGCTGCTGTGGCACAAGACACCCCATCCCCATTCACCTCTCTCTACTGCCCTCCTGCCCGCAGGCATCCGGCCCTCTCTCACACTAGCTTCGTTCCTTCTGCCCGGAACTAGTCGAAGCATCATCTCCACATTTAGGCCTCGGCTGCCTCTCCCTGGTCGTCTTCCAAATCCACTGGCCTCACCTCCTTCTTTCTCACTTTGTAGCTCTCTTCCTAGTTTCTCTCTGTATCTGAAGTCAATATTATGACTCTCCTTCCCCAGCAAAAAATAATAATAATAATAATTTTTCTTCCTCTATAAACACTTGTAAAGAAGCATGTGGGGGGGGGGGGTCCTGATTCCATGGAACTGATGCAGAGGCCTTGGCCATAAGAGATCTCCTCTGCTAAGTTAAGTTCTTAAATTGACCATTACAAGGAAACTCAGCTATTGCATAACATTTGATAGGTTAGACCACTTGCCGTTTGGAGAGTCTTGCTCTGCAAAGATGAGAAAATAGCGATGGGCAAATTTAACGCAATTTCCTTTGCTTGCTTGCGCTAGCCTAGACTTGCAACACCGCAGTGACAGTTTTTCTTGAAGTACAGCTTTAACATCATAAAAAAGGACTCTAAGAGAGTGATAAATCATTCTCATCCTTCAGCTTACTAGCACATCTATCCTGACACCGCCCACCCCCCACCCCACCCCCAAGGCCCTTCTCGCTTTGCACAGTGAACAATTAAAGGGATTCTAGCAGGGCTGTTTACGGAATCAAAATCCCAAACACGGGAGAACAGCAAGAAGCAGCTCAGGTGTTTTAGTTAAACGAAGGACTCTCTTCGAGGCACGAACAAGAGCAGGAATATTTTGATGGTATTAACAGAAACAACTGGCCACTGCTATTGCCTGTTTCCAGTGGAAGGTCTTTACACCCTGCTTTACAAGGAGTGAGGCCATCTTATTAATTCCAAAATTAATGGATAGCATCCAAGGAAAATAATTGGTCTTCTTCCCCTCATAGAAAAATTCACATGAACGTCTAAAAAAAAAAAAAAAAAGCTGGAATTCTCCCTGCCAGCTCTCTGCTTTCCCGGCTTCTGCATTGTGACAGTTGGAACAGATGGCGTCTGGGTGAGACACCTTACATCTTAAACCTCATCCCTGATAAGGTCTGATTTTAACTAGTGATGTGGGAATCCCAGGTCTGTCAGGGTTTCTGTCCTGAGCACCTACTCACCAGATTTCCAATCTCATGTATTTTACAGTTTTCACACTGATAAGGCTTATTTTTGTTTTGGCCAAAGAATTTTTCACCTTGGACTAATTCTCAGTATACATATTGTCACCACACGGTGAAAACACAAGTATTTCCTTTCATTTGAAAAACGAACGTACACTCTTTTGCCAGACATCCTACATATGATGCAGCCTTTTAAACAGGCCATTTTCAAAGATGTGAAAGAAGATTTTAGCACCAACTGATGGTCCACCTGGTCGTTTCTTTAGATGAGGATTTTACAGACATATACAAGATTACAGAACACAACATTTCCAAAAGCTTCACCAGCAAACGCTAAGGGAAAAAAAAATTATGGCTCCTCCTCAGTTGTATGCTGTGAATGTAAATTAAGAAGCGGCGACAACGCTACTCAATACAGCCTTTATGACACCACAAAAATAAATGAATAAATAACACACACACACACACACACACACACACACACACACACACACACACTCCCCATCTCATTCTGAAAACTGATTCACGGCTTAATACGAAAAACATGAAATAAAATTGCTTCCTTCAGACTGGAATAAAGACGCAGACGTAGAGAATGGACTTGAGGACACGGGGAGGGGGAAGGGTAAGCTGGGACGAAGTGAGAGAGTGGCATGGACATATACACACTACCAAATGTAAAACAGATAGCTAGTGGGAAGCAGCCGCATAGCACAGGGAGAGCAGCTCCGTGCTTTGTGACCACCTAGAGGGGTGGGATAGGGAGGGTGGGAGGGAGGGAGACGCAAGAGGGAGGGGACATATGTATACGTATAGCTGATTCACTTTGTTATAAAGCAGAAACACAACAATGTAAAGCAATTATACTCCAATACAGATGTTAAAAAAAAATTGCTTCCTTCAAATGGACAATTATATGAAGGCTTCTTAAATTTCAAAGCACGTCCACAACACATCATTCATTTCCATTTTGCTGCTATGTTTTCAAGTGAAAGGTAAAGAATATTCTTCCACACGGAATTCTTTCTAAAGGCCTAAATATTAAATAGATGTCCCCAACGGGGTGACAGTGAAAACGTGGCAAAGTGTGCAGGAGCAATTAACCAAAGGCGGAATGTGTGCATTTCGCCCCAAACTGGATCCCAGTACCCGCCTGCCACCGAGGCCACTGCAGCTCTCCGATTATGAATCAGAGGTTCATCTGCAGAGGAATGACTCAGTATAAACTTTTAAATAATGGCTTTAAAAAAAAAAAAAAAAACCTAAGCCAGCCCAGGGTGAACACGTTCGGCTATGTAGACACCCGAATCGGTCCGCTCCTCACCCCGCAACACACAGCCTCGCAGGAGATGCTGATTTCTCGCCACCCCGATGGGGGGGGTCACGTTTCCAAGAGGCCTCGGCGCCCCGTTTCCTGAAAAGCTGCGGGAGCCCCGGCCCGCGGGCCCCGGCCGGGCCTGGCCGGAGGACAAAGTTTCCCGAAGTTGAGGCGTCCGGGGGGCGGGCGGGCACGGGCTGGGGCTGGGGCGAGGCGGCGCCGTACCGGGCACTCGCCGCCGGGCGCCGGGCCTGCGCCGCCCCGGCCCCGCGCCGACCGGCCCTGGGCCCGCCCGCCGCCGAGGGCGCGGGATGGAGCCGCCGGGGATGGAGCCGTCCGCCGCCCGCCACCCGCCGGGCCCCTTACCCGCGTCCGCGCCGCTCGGCCGGCTCAGGGGCGCTGGGCGCGTCCTCCGCCGCGGTCCGCAGCGTCCTGCTCCCCGGGCAGCCCCATGTCGGGGGGCGGGGAAGGGCCGGCGGCCGCCGCCGCCGCCGGCTGGAAAGTCCCTGCTGGGCTGCAACCCGGCTCGCGCACGCGGCGGCCGCGCCGCGCCGCGCTCCCTCGCCCTCACGCACCCTCTCGCAGGCACTTCCTCTCGCGCGCTGGAAATCCCCGCCGGCCGCTGGAGCGCGCCCCGGCGCGCGCCCGCCCCGCCCCCGCCGCCAGGCCCCGCGCGCGCGCACGCGTGGGAGCTGCGGGAGCCCGCGAGCGCGG